CTCCCTCCCCTCCCCTCCCCTCCCCTCCCTCCCTTCCTCATTTCTCCACCGTCCCTCTCTCCCCTCCTTTCATTCCCTTCCTTCCTTCCAATCCTTCCCCGTCGCCTATCCTCCCTTCCATTCTTTCCCTCCCACCATGCCTTCTTCCCCTTCCCTCCCTACCTCGCTTGCTCCCTTCCTTCAATTCCTCCCCTTTGAATCCTTGTCTTCCTTTCTTTCCCTTCTGTCTGTCCCTCATGTCCCTCCATTATCCGTCCATCTGTCACTCCCTCCCTCCCTTCCCTTATTTCTCGTTCCTAGCTCCCTTCCCTCCCTCCCTGCTTCCCTCCTTCCCTCCGTCCCTCTCTTCCTGTATTCCTTCTCTTCCTTCCTGCATGTCCTCCATCCCTCCCTTCCCTCCCTTCCCTCCCTTCCCTCCCTTCCCTCTGTTTCCTCCCTTCTTCCTCCCCTCCCTTCTTTCCTGCGTTCCTCAGTTCTTTCCACTCCTTCCCTCCCTTCATTCCCTCTCTTCCTTCTCACCTTCGTCCCTCTCTTCCTCTGTCAATCACTCAGGTTTGCATTCGCTCATTTATCCTTCCATTATCGCTCAGTTTTCCAGGCATTTGTTGTTCCTGCATGCGGCTGCTTGCACACTTATTTGCTTTGATTTGTCCATTGTCACTCCCTTCCTGCCCCCCCCCCCCCTTCCTTCCTTTCCTTCTTGCCTCCCTCCTCCCTTCCTTCCTTTCTGGAAGGCAGCCTGTCAGCCGTCCGGCATCAGCCTTGATGCTGCAGATGCTTTTTGCTGTGCGCAGATGGTCAGCGTTTTTCAATCATCCGCAATATTGTCTGTCTTTGTCTGTCCGATTCTTACTTCAATTTTTCATCCAGCTTTATCACAGCAGTTTTTATGATGCGCCTGGTTTCATTTCGTCTACACAGATTGTCGGCATTGATTATGTCCTGTTGTGTCTTTTTAACGGGAAACAGGCGAATTAAACTCCCGTTGAATCCCGTTGAACTGAAAAAATCCTGTTGAATTTCCCCAACCCCTGAAGCACCTCTTATACCACCGAACGAGATCAACACCCACCGCCTGCCACCCACCACTGACCAGCCCCCCGGCAGTAGTCCCCAAACCTACCCGGAAGCACTCTAAGCCATCCGCCCCCACATCCCCCCCCAACCCCCAAGGCCCCCAGTTATGTGTGTGCAGGTGTGCTGTGTGTACTCGTGTGTGTGTATGTGTGTGCCTGTGTGTGAGAGTGTCTGTGCATGAATATGTATGTATTCGCATGTGTTTGTGTACGTGTGTATTTGTAAGTGTGTGTGTGTGTGTGTACGCGTGATTGTTGGCGTGTGTGCGCATGTGTGTGCATGTGTGTGCATGTGTGTGTGCATGTGTCTCTGTGCTGTGTGTGTTTGTGTGTGTTGTGTGTCTGTGTATGTATGTGCATATCTGTTTTTTCCTTTTTTTATTTGTTTTTATGTTTCTTTTTAATACATGAAAGTTCAAAAATGTATATATGAAACTCCGACGAAACAGTTTGTCACAGCCCCTCGTTTGTTGTCCTCTTCTCCCTCTCTGCCTACGGTTTACCGTCGGCAGTTCTATTTGACGATATATATA